AAAAAAAAAAAAAAAAAAATCATTAAAATAAAATAGCAACTGCATTACGGTGACATCGCCGATAAAACTTCAGTAGTTAATTTGCATGAAACTGCAAAGTTATTTGATAAGATTAATTAATTTTTCTCTGCTCTTATTTATCTATTTTTTCTTCTTCTTCTTCATCGCCCTATCCGCTTCTTTGCTCCTCTTCTTAGCAGTTCTCGTATCCACCAAAAAAAAAAATTGATTCTTTTGTTTTTTTTTTTTTGCTTCTAACACTTAATGAATTTTATGCCATTTTTTAAATGTCCTTGTATTTTTCCATACTTTAGCCGTGCCTAATGGAATTCTTCTTAACGTGACTTCTTGCTTAGTAATTTGAATGACTTACAATCGTGACTAGAGGGTAGTTTTGTCAGAGAAAACAAGGAATACGTTGTAAAAGCAAACAGCGTCTTATTAAAGCCATAATTTTGCGCTGATTAGTATGTATCAGAGAAAAAAAAAACAATTTTTTTTTAATTGCTTTTCAACAACAAAGGCAATGTTGCTTTTTTTCGCTGTTTGCAATTTTTATTGCTTTAACATCAGAGTACATCCAGGTAATTGTATTAAGACCTTTAAGAACAAATGTAGAAAAAAAAGAGTTTGAAAAAGACCTATCAAAGTGTTTTTATAGCATTTTTAATGTTGACTGATTTACGAAGTGTTTAAGACATTTGCGCCAAAACTTAAGTTATCAATGATTTAAAGCCTGTCGACACCTCTGTTCCACCCAATTTTGCTTTCCACTTTTTCAGTTGCAGCAGCAGCAGCAGCACCAACAAAAACAGCAACAGAAGGAAATGATAAACCAACAAAAAAGCAGAAGACCTTCTATTTATCGTTATTATTGTTGTCAGTTTTTCTTCACCATCCTTTTTTTTTCTTCTCACTTTTTGTTATCCGATAACCAAATACCATGGCAATTAACAGCAGTAATAAATTCAGGTTGGTTATTAAAACGTCAATTTTCCAGGCAGAATATAGGTTGGCAAAAGTCGTTCAGCTTAATCTCTTTAGCAACATTTCATTACCAAAAGATACATCGTATTCACAGTTGTGAAAATTAAGATGAAGACTTCTGTTCAAAAATATCAAATTTCAGTTTGAAAACAGCCAAAACCATATGAATGGTAATGGGACAAATTGTGCGGATTATAAACTGCCATTAATTTCCGGTGTCAGCGAGATGGATTACAACAGTGAAGGCTAACAACACCGTTCAACAGCGACAGGTTGGAATTCAAAGCTGTAGCTAAAATAGCCTGTCCTCTTGTCACTCATCGAATTTAAAGACAACTGACTGATGATCATGTTGACGACGATGTCGATGATGCTGATGCTGACGATCATCATCATCATAATCGTCGTCATCGTCGCCGTCAGCAGCACAGTTTAAGAGTTACATCCCGCCAGCAGCTTTACCACAGACAACAAAATACAACAAAATAAGATCAGAAAGATAAATTGCTAATCATTAATCAGAATTAATAGAAAGAAAAATAGGGGAAGAAAACCTTATGAATATTTTTCCTGCAAATTTTTTTTTCCATTTCAAAAAAAAATACCATTAATTTTGGTGTCAGAAAATAAGTAAAATAAAATATTTTGAAAAAAAATTTTTTTTTTATTTGCTGACGTTTTCTCTGCAAATTATTTTCGGAGTTTTTTTTGGAGAAAGAAGAAAATATCTGATCATGAAATTAGGGGAAATGCATTGCTTTTGTTTATTTGCTTTGTTCTTTCCTCGCTCCCTTCCAGTCCCCCCATTCATCTCTTTCCCTCCCCGTCAAAAAAAAAAAAAGAATTCAACATACCAAAATTTTTACCATATATTTCGTTACAACAACAA